CAACGCGGTTAGTGAAAGTAAAAATCTAATCAAATGCTTTGGTCCATAAAGTGGCCAGATGTGACAACGGTGGAAGATGGGCCATGTTAGCTGCGTTGCAGCCTGCGTGCAAGCCAGAGCAACTGATTGATCCACCTCCTTCAATTGCAACATACGAGAGGAGTTTTATATATATATATATATATATATATTTGATGATAAGTAGTATGTGAATGACTGGACAAAATTTCCCTGGAAGCACACGACCGGTTTATATATATATATATATATATATATATGGGAGAGAGTAGGGAAAAGGGTTTGGACGTAAAAAAGGGAGCCGTACGGATCACAACAAATCTGAGAGAATGAACTCGTTAGAACAAACGAACACTCTTTAAAACACTTAAAAGTACGCTACTGATTTTCGTCTGCAAGTCAGATGATTAAAACTCATGCCGAATAAGTGGACATTCTTGTATGTTGAACAACTCGAGGTGAACAGGTCAGGACATATCATGCTTGTCTTCCTCAGTGCGGAGAAAGAATATCATTCTTCCCGCATATACCGTCATAAAATTACAAGCAGATATAGTGAGACTCAATGTGACTCCCCGATATGATGCTTCCAAAAGTAACTTCAATCTCTTGCCGATGTCCACACAGGGCTACGAAACCGTAGTCAGACACATCTAGAGTGATTGGTCAAAATTCAGCAATTATCAAACATTATTAAACGAACTTTTATTCTTATTGTATGTCACCCTGCAAGCACTCTCAACTGCACACCTTGCCGTGAGAATTAGATAAGTCATATCGATTTGCGGTGGTTGATGGAACGGATGAATTGAAGTTGACTCCTGCATACATTGGACAGGGAAAGAAAAGCAAACCACTATAGTCTGAAAAATTGCCCTGAAGGAAAAGGTGCCTACGTACGTGTGGCAAGGTCTAGGGATATATTGTATCGTGTCATAAGCATTTTACAGCCCAGTTTGGGGGACCACTCCGACAGTTCAAAGAACCACGTGATCATTTCAGATACACGATGTGTGGTGGTGGTTGTGGCGGCGGTGGATCGATGGTTCATGCGGATCGAGCAAACAGATCAATACGGACAGAGGAGTATGATATGATCAGTTATCAACCGTATACAACTGATGGAACAAGAGAAAGTCTATCCCGATTGCTATAGTTCTCTCTTGCTCTCCCACAGGACGAATCGAATAGTCAATAAATGTTGAAAATTGGCCTGCGGATGGTAGCACACCCTTCGCTCCACCACTTATGGACATATTTGATGAGCTCGACACCTGCTTTGTTTCACTCATCCCAATGAACCCATTCGCCCCACCATATGGTAGCAGATTTGTAATTTCGACGATGGTAACAGCTGAGACGATATTGAAATGTCAGTGCATAAGACATCTTCAGGCTTTTGTGTTGTCCGTTTGCAGGAACCACTGTCGTAAAACAAACGTTTCTCTGTACCAGTACATTATGGGGGAATTTTACTCCCATAAGAGAAGACAGTGGACGATGTGTTGACGGACATTGTGAGCTGCTTCTGTGGCAGGAAACTATATGACGCAAACTTCGGATAAATCGCATTCTCTTGGAAATGGAGAAACCTCAGTTTTGTTTAATCCCAAAGCGCAGTTACTAAAATAAATACCATGATTCATACCCAAAACATACAATTTTTTTCTTTGTAGCATAAAAGCAAACGGCCAATGGATCAAAATTGCAGTGAGAACACATACTGGAGTGAATTACTGAACAGAAGTCACTTAAAACTGGTTTACTTTCCGACGCACCTTCTACATAAGATTGCAAGAAATTTTCACCCGGCAATGGAAACAAAACAGACAAACGAGCGAAAGATAAGAACTTGTTTTCATTTCTTCTAGTTCTTGTATCGTATAGATTTCGTTTCATTTACACCAGAGCTCATTGAACTAGTTCGCGTCCGTACCACTGGTTCAATTGGACGGGGATTTGAGCACCGAAAAGTGATATTGGTTTGATAAGGTGTTGAATGCAAGGCAAAAACATGCAGCCACTGAAGGGAGCTAGTGCAGAAAGGAATAGATAGCGCGAAAGAGATAACAGTTGAATCTACGACAGAACTCGACGATTGGACTTCAAGTGATGTGGTCTGCATCTGTGGGCTGTGCAAAACCGGGTATGCTGAAGTAACTGCGTCACGGAGCTTGAAACCTCGAACGAACGGAATACGCGTTATTTATCTCGAGTTATCACGAGGGTACGTCAGCGTGGCACCAAACGAAATAAAGTAATACAGCTTTCTGCGAAAGAATAGAGATGGAATATTTTGATCATCGTGCTGCGATTGCACATAATGACAACCAAACATCCGTCCGAGTTGCAAGGAAGACAGAAAGAAGCGAAATAACTGGTTCGCAGCTGTACAGCTACAGGAATAGGGTATATTCACGGAAAACTATTCGACTGCGTAGACCCAAAGGTTAAGTACAACGTTCCCCCGGCTGCGAACTCTATAGTGGGTCATCGTAGACATTTCGTTATTACATCCTAGAGACGGGGATGTGCCATTGACATTTGATTTGTGACATTGATTGTTTTTTTTCTTTGAACGAATCAATCAGAAAAGAGATATTTGTCGTAGGATGCAAAACAAGACGAGAAAAGAATTAATCGAACCTTCTCCCCTTGGTACATACATCGCCACAATTGTTGATCACAACTGTATGGGGGCATAACCGTACAGGTGTCTAACCCCAAAACAAATCGTCTCATCTGACCGCCAAAATAACATGGACACGAATACTGATAAATCAATATTTTCATAGACATTTGCGTGCACCTACGCAACGATGCACACACACACACACCTTTCTCTTAACGGTTTGGAGATCAATAAGCCGACAGGCGGCTACATGTGAAGCTGCCGGGAAGATTAGAGTTGTTCGCCCGGTGGTCATGATCAAACAAGCGAGTTCTTTTGTGGAATCTTACCTCACGGACTGAGCGAGAAAACAACACAACCAGACACAATGCGGATGGGTCCGAAAATTCTGTGCAGAAAACGTGCGTCTGCGAGTCACAATTAGAGAATGGAATTTAAACTTATTTAAACTTAAAACATCAGAATGACCCAAAATAAACATGAGAACACACGGGCAAGAGGGCAATCATAGATCAATATGCCATGACCAGTAAACAATCGTGATCAGAACCTGCTTAATGCAGCAATTATAAGATGAACGGATTTTTGTCTTGTTTCGTTTTCGTTCAGGTTGCCCTAGGAATTGGCAGCTGGTTCGGTTTGGACGAGGACCAAGCATACGGACTATTTGTGGTTGCCACGGTCCCCGGGGGTGGATTAGCTTATTTGTTTACCTATCTCGTACACGGGGAACGACATCTTTCGGCTGCTTTATCCCTGATGACAAGCCTACTGGACACCGGTAAGTCACAATGATACAGGTATAGATACAGTGTTGGAATAAACAAGAATATTAAGCTGAAAAACCTTTCATTAGGATGAATAAAGCAAATTTTGACTTGACTTGAACCATCAGTGCAACTTCAGGGAATCCCCCTCCCGAAGTTGCACTGCTGATGTTGCCTAGCCTGGCCACGAAACGAACAACGCTTCTAGCTCAGAGAACACACCAACACCAATACGTCTAGGTTCCGAAACAGCTTTAACACAGTATTAATTTTGCAAGACGGTATACATGTGTGGAGGACCTGTGTTCGAACCCCACCACCACCGCCTAACTTGCTCCATTATGTGTTGTACGGCAGCCCTTTGATTGACCTCTTTCCCCTTCCTGAAAATTGTATCATTGCATATTCAATGAATGGAATTAAAATGAAAAAAGAGTAGGTCAGCTTTTTGGTGATAAGTTGAGTTCCCGAAATTCACATTTGCCCAAAACTACAAAAAAGACAACTAAAACGTGCGCGTAACACATACGTCTCTTTAGAATAAAAAATGACAGAAATAGAATGAAACATTCGGATGAACCTCAATAACATGGAACTGAAACATTAGTTTACCCAACATCTAAAAACTAGACACTATTACGTGTTTTACATGTGTTCCGGAAGAGAGAGGATGATCTATGGCTTGATCGATCGATTCGCGTGTTTCTATTACTGCTGAATGTATCGATAACAGATTGGCACGTGCCGCTTAAACAGACTGAACTGGCAGGAATTGTGACATGTTGCATCGGTCGAATGACATGGATTCAACATATATCAATGAAAATCTTTATTCTAATCGTCCCTATAATCATCCTTAAGCAAGCATGCCTACTGCATCTGTAATGCCCTGAATAGCGTCATGCAAACGTACACGAGTTCAGTTCCTATGTGGTCATATGGACCACTGTTGTCTTTGGTCACTTATTGTAAAAGGATGAACGTTAACCTATCCATAACGGAGCTTAACAATCAGTAGACAGTAAATTTACCAGTAATTCGTAATGCTATATCCTTGTTGATCGATTAGCTAGAACAAAACGTTCTCTCGAGACCTGAAAAGGCCAACGACAGACAGCACCAGAGATCCAGACTACATGATTTCCTCGAACGAATTCGGAGTAAAGTTCAACTGTTTACTTTCAAGTGTGAGAGGATAAGGCGATCTTCACAACAGATTTAGACTGATTAGGTCGGGGATACATAACTGTCAAGATAGGTTTTAGGTAAACATATCAATAATTACTGAGTGTTGCCAATTCCGTTTGAAATTATTTGAACGATATGGTTTGATTTCCCGTTTTCCCTATATTTAAACATCCCTATGCACACATACACACACACACACACAGGGACCTCAGTTTTGTGGACGTTCGGAGTGGGTTGGTTCTGGTTCGAAAGACCCATGCAAATGGACAAAGCTGTCGGTTGGCTATTGCTGATTGCAGTCGGTCAAGCACTCGGGACAATCATGCGCGGATGTCGACCCAGCGTAGCACACGGGATCTTGACCTGGATCACTCGACCACTGCTCCTTCTGGCCGGCATTCTGATGGTCACACTGGGTGTATATATTAATCACTACGCTTTCACGGAATTCAATCAGAATCTGATATTCAGCTTGCTCTTTCTCATCACCTTCGGATTCGCTTTGGGGTGGATTGCCGGACAGATCACAGGACAGGAGATCACCATCACTCGAGCTTTGGGTACCGAGGCTGCTGTGTTTAACGGATTGTTGTGTATCCCGTTGCTCAGGACTACGGTACACGCACCGGAGGGCGATTTGGCCGCAATTGTGGCCGTATGGGCCACATTTTTTGTACCAATACCACTGATTTACCACGGTATTGTGTCCGTAGTGCACGTAAGTGAATGCTATCTACTGTAAGCTCTTGGCGTGATGAATAGTAGGCAAGGACCGAACCCATACATGCGAGGAGTTACTGTTTGTATAAAGGAATCTTAGGAACTGAATCAACTAACTAGACGAGCTTTTTGATAGGATGAGTGCGGCAATGAATCACGTGATAATTGTGCTAAGAGGTAAATACCGTCATTCTGTGCTATCAAGATGTAGCACCACTTTACGGTTTGTGTATACGAAAAGGGCCACAACTGGAGGCTTAAATATAGCGGCGTACATCTTCGAAACAAAATGATCCATCTACCACTCCATGGCCATTGCCCACTGAAACCAACTTAATGAAACGTGCATTAACCATTCTGTCTTAAAACTCCCACATACCTCGGCACTCTATTAAGGAAATTTCAAATAACGTCACCTCGATATCCTTTCACCTTCTACACAATAATGTCTTTGATTTATGTTTTCTGGCCAAAATTCTTGCACCTTAGTACACGACTCCTTTAGGGATGGCTTAAATGTTTTCGGTTGGGTTCAGGTTTGGGCTGCACACATACCACACCACTGTTTTGATGCCCTTAAGTGATGGCTAGAATTGTTTTAGATTGAGTTATGAACCGCGGCATTATCCCGCTGGCAAATGGCTTCACTGTGACTATTCGATGCTATTGCTGGCATAAGGTGCCACTTAAATATATGACCAGAATTTCGATCCCCGCAACCTATAGTAGGGCGAGCTTCGTTGAGCGGTTGTTCGAGAAGGCATTCCACACCATCAAAGAACTTGTCGTTAACTTATTGATACATTTCTTCTATTCGCAGACCATGTCCGAAGTAGTCTCTTGCATCGGGTGCATTTAAATTAAAATTGCTAAAGCAGACACAATTCCATTCGTTTCTCCAAGTTACACGAGTTTCAATCCACAATAACCGTTTTTTGTTTGTTTGTAAGGCTGTCAGAGGTACTTTCTCATCTTGTATTTCATCAAGGGTACTGACCTGAGTATTCTTTGTATCAATCGCGCCAGAGAGTTCAGCTGAAGCATCTTCCTTACCTCTGATGAGTGACTCACGGAATTTGAGGCCATAAGCAGTAACCTATGATTATCTATATCCGAGAGCTGTTTTCGGCGTCCAACTCGTTTTCGGCTGATTCGTAGTTCTTTTCGCATCACTTATCTTGTGACAACGGATCTGAACCGATTACATCCTCTGGCTATCTCATACGTGCTGACACTGATCTTATGAAAGGTACTCATTCCGAAATTCTAGTTATAAACGCGCCATAGTTGATGGTGTCCTGTGGGACCTATTCAGACCTTTTAGTTGCTTCAAGGTCATTGATAGTGGCGTGAGCATTTGGTCGCTATCACCGGGGTGTCACATGGTCGTAGTTTACATCAGTTTGCGGACCACCGGTTCAGCACAGTGGCCACTTGCCACAGTGAAGTGCTAATGCGGGAGGATTAGCGCAGTCGTTTCTGAACAGAGTTAAGAGTGTGAAGTCAAGATGGGTGCAATAACGTTAAAATAAGATATTTTGCTGAAATTTTTATTCGGTTGCCGCTAATATTCGCAAAAAGATAATGATCGTCCATATGAGAGTGGAGATAATGAAAAAATTAGGAGAAGTGCAATACGTTTGTTGTGGGGTGTATCGGATAATCAAGAAACCAATAATAAACAGCTCAACCACAACTTCTGCAGTTCCAAAACACAAGTTTCTATATTTGAGTTCGCTACGTAGAACAAAGAAGTTCCTCATTATAAAGCACAAACTATGGGATGCTCAGATGACTCCAGATCATAAGCGAGTTTTCCACTATTCGACTCCGCAGAATTCAAGTCTGATTTTTTCAAACTACAACACGGCATGAGATCTTATACAGAAGTTTAGATTCGGCAGCAAGTGACAGGGAACTGATGCGAATTTCGAGTTTATTTCTAAAAAGCTTTGGGTACGTCGACAGAAAATGTAAACATAAAAGATAAAGCGCCGCTAACCAGGCGAGTTTGTCAACTGACTGTTCCGGTCTTCCCGTCTGGCGGACCGCCGATGAGAAAATCTAATAAATCCATCATCTGATAAGTGCGTGCGCGTGCGCACGATCGGATCCAACCCTATGAAGGTGGATAAAATAAGAACAATATGCTTGGTTGAGGTCATTTGGTTTTCACAGAAAGTAAGACCTACAGTGTTTTCACAATTATCAGGAGTCAGGATCAAAAACTTGTGATATATGGATACCCGTGAAGTAGTGACCTTAGTTAGCTTATTACTCATTTACTTTAAGGCCTTTTAAACCTGTCCTCACTGGTTGAAGGTTTCGATCCCTGGGAACGCATCGATTTCCCACATGTTAAATGCTCTATATATGTCCTGAAAATTATTATGTATGGTATCAGGTCCCGCAGCAGAAGTTCTAACCAACATGGAACAGCTGTCAAGCATTTTTGTTTCTCGGTTATTGTCCACAATCACCTTTATCGTATGTGGATGGAGCAAATTTCTAAAGGTATATATTGTGATTTCGAAACTCCACTTTAGACCAGATATGCTGCACGAGTTCTGTCGGCGTGATATGTGTGTGTGTGTTTGTGTGTTGGATACATTCACAAAAGCCTGATTTTATTTTAAGTAGTCTATTTTGTTTGAATTCTCCCAACCCACCTCCGATCACCATGTAGCACTGGATAACCGATTATTGCCAACGAAGAAAGAAACAGAACGAGCAAAATGCGATGAGTGCAATTATTGCTAACGCGGCCGGTGATGGAACAGACCTGGGTGCGGCTTCGGTAGCGGCAGTGGCAGCGGCTGCAATCGCAGTAGCACCGGCAATAGCGGCAGGACCGAAAGAGGCGCGTCAGCGAGGGACACAACCCAGAACACATGATTCCAGTGCGGAAGGTTTCGTGAATGTTTCCGAATGCAGTGTGGACTTATTCGAGACTCGTCGTGACAGTTCCAGACGCTCAGAACATGAGCATATCCCATTGAGTCACACACCTCATGACCAAACTGCAGATCAGCCACTAGTTCCGCTCACTTTAACAGAACTGGATATGAACAAGCACAACCCTGATCGATTGCGCAACCATGTGCCAGGACTATCAAAGCCGCATAAGTCGCAATCCCACCTGCCGAAGACTACACATACAGAGGATCAAGTTTTGCCTTATCTCTTATCGGACTATGATCCCCGTTCGGTGGGAAAACAGATGGCTTATGCTCAACATATTGCGCCCATGCAGCATCGTCAGTTGGACGAGCCTGTGCACGGATACACTCCGGTAAAACCTCACCAAGCTCACCGCCCGACCCATGAGAAGCACAAGCCCCCTCCTTACACTAATTTATGAGACTTTCTTGGAAAAACAATCAAAAGTAGTTTGTTAGTGTTTCCTAATAATATTATATCTGATATTACCCGAGCTACCATGACAATTACCTCGAAAAAAACGACGAAACTATTACCGTTACTAATACTACTACTAACACCACCACAACCTACAAAAGAGAGCCATTCGAAAGAACAAGTTTGTTTCTCAACCTCTCTCTCTTTCTCTTAAAGATCTTCGGAAAACACACAGTCCGTTACTGTCAGTTGCATTTTGTTCCAGCCAAATATGAAATCAGATTAAACCTTATGTTCACAGACATTGTCTCATTCGGTTTCCTCGAGGTGAACTCTATGTGACAAAACCCACATATTGGGCCTAGTTTCAGCTCACGGATGAATATGCAGTGACTGTCACAACGTACACATGATGCAGTTAAAGCGAAGAAATATTGAACAAGCTGGATTTTAGAAAGAAATTCAGCGAGATACGGCATCATCGAGGTTTTCTCTCCTGCAGTTTTTGCATGCAGATAGTTACGGCAAGGACGCATGCGAGAAGTGGTTCCTCCAACCGTCTAATCGCTGATACACCAATTCCATAATTGATCAGATCACTAAACAAAAGTGACTCCACTAGGGCGATCACTGACAAAACAAAAGGGTAAGCAAACACCATGAAGGTTATGAGAGTGAATAAACAATAAACAGATAAGGTGAATAGCATACCCCATGAGGCAAACGACGTGTGAGCTTGATCATGAGATCAACTTTGTTTTAGCTATCACGAGAAGACAAGTCAGGTTGCAAGGAGAGCTTGTGACACAAACAGATATTTTGAAGAACGTCTGGGATTGACTAATCGATAAGTAGATTAGAAGTGTGAAGAAATGTGATAATCCAGACTGATACAGATTCCCGCACGTTTGTCACCGTATCCCAATCTATGATAGAAAGTAAGTACTTGTTCAGACAAATCGTGGGACAAGTGACCGTTTCAGAATCAACTGAAAAAGCCGAATCAAACCCAAGGTGATGAGACCGATTCCGGTGAGTTATGACTCGGTCGTTTTTTTCGCTACATGACATACCACGGTACCCAGTACAATAATTAGAGTACGAAGTGGTGCGACCCTTTGACTCAAATATAACAGATATAGCAGTGTATGAAGCGAGATTGGTGGTCTGCAGTCAGATACGTATGTGCGCCTTGAAGATAATAAAGATTTTCAGACCACAAATCCAATAAAATTTTACTCTTCGTACGTAGATGGTTACGTAGATAAATTGGGTTCGCATTCATCAACCAGAAAAAAAGTAATCACGACAGGTCAAAGGGAAAGAAAACCCTAGACGCAATACAAGCAGATTTATCGAGGTTCGAGTAGCATATTATGCTAATATTAGATTAATTGCACTGATTCCATGGAATGGTATCACGTAAACACAGTGTGAGATTTGTCGACCGACACCCCTGTTTAAGTTCATTTAACAGCAACTCGTGATCCAGGGTTGTAGATCTTTCATGATGTATCCCCAATAGGTCATAAACGAACGGGGTGTGTTAGATCGATCAGTTGCGTGGAATATTCTCAGAACGTTTGCTGCTTTTCATTTCGATGGATTTCCCTTCAAACATACTAGTTATCGGTGAGGGAAAATTGTATGAGGTTCTATGGCTGCGTAGATCATAGTCAAAACCGAAAGCACCTAAAGTTACTCAGACCATAGAATTTTCCATCTACTATTCACTTTATCCTGAGCTCGACTACCCTGGAACCAGAACCACTGTCGAAGACGAAGGAAAAACAGACAGTACACAACATTTAGCACAGTACCACCATAGCGGAGCCATTTGCTAGAGGGAAGTGTCAGCAGAATTAAAATATAAACGTAACCGGAGCAACGTGCAAGTGAGGCCATGTCAGTCTAAGATCACATGAAGTGAAGAATTAGAACAACAGCTTTAGAGATCTCTGAACTTTAGCTATTTAGTCATAGAGAAGAATAACAAAAGCACGCACCATTTGCTCGAAAAAGAAAGGCAGTAGGATAGGGAGCTAATGCAGATAAGGTGGGTAACTTCCCAGATAAAAAGAATGATCAAATAAGCCAATATGAAACAGTCATGATACATTGCTACTATTTGCACCGATAAATAATAGGAGTAATCAAATCAAATGAAATTCATGAAGAAGAACTAACCTCGAAGGGATAAAACTTCCGTCGACATTCCCAGCAGTAACGTTAATCCACACCAACGAGAAGGAATAGGTAGGCTAACCCAGTAATATTTAGCAAAAAGCAGTGTCCAGTCACGGAAAAAGCTGAAAAATCAGGAAAGATGATTTCCTAGAACAATGTGAGCAAATTGAGAGATTGGTAATTCCCGTTAACTCAACAGAAAATGCGACATTGTCGAAATAGTCTTACAGAGCACATTTCAAACAAAACAACAGAGTGGCGAACAGGCTCGTTTTCATACAATCATGGTACAATAATCTAGTTTGACCTGTGAGGTTTTAACTTGCATGGCCGTTTGTGTGCAAGATCCGCTACCACCCGTTCGCACTGTCAGGTGAATTTTGTTCAGATAAACCTACGTGATTTTTTTATTGCAATGAACAGCAACGGAATCAACTCCACAGTCACGAAGAATTGCTATTCAGTAATGGAAACAGGTAATCTAAGCACAGGGACTTGGAGTGGCCCGCTATGTTGGGTGTGGTAGTGAACCGGAAGACAGCGAGGTGGTCTACTATCAAAGCTATAGGAAGAGTGTTTGAAGGAATCCAATCTAACCCCTAATTTAGAACAACGTTCCTTGAACTAAACCCGACATTCAACTCCGTCAACCACACGGTACCCTGGTGTTGTCTCTCCTTAAATTGTTTACCAGAAAACTTTCCCTTCTGACAATCTTTGCATGCCAACGCATGTTTGAAATTACGTTTTTTCGTCCAAGTTCATCACGAAAGGTGGTGCGCGTCAGAACTATCGTTTCCCTTTCTTTTCGACCTTGATTTGGGAAGTGGCCCTATCCGCATTCGAGGATTGAGATGTTGATACTTGTGAAAACTGGAATGAACGCAAAATTACTTGAATTAAAAATTTTCATTCAAAGAATGTTATGTGGCTGAAAACATGAGACTGGGACCAATGATTCAACAAGAAATAAATTTGTCAGAAGTCTAACATCGGCATGATTGCAACCCAAGTCGATCGATGAGCACCACGCTAAATTCTACATTTATCTCTGGCACTTACGCATCTGGACACATGCACTAACTTGGTAATTCAGTTTGCAATAGAGGTCTGCCTTCTTTCGATTTGGTGACCGGCGGGCATATGCTAATGTGCCTTACCAATGGTTGTTCGGTCAATTTCACCATACCTTGTTGAAGTTGCATCGCTCCAGAAGAATATTTAGCATAGTGCGCTGGGCTACTCATGAGTAGCTACCAGATACAGTAGAATTTCCCATAAGGAATGGGTTCCCTGTCAGCAGGAACAATAAGCGGGAAGTGAAATTCTCCGTGA